AGCTGGGAGCTCGGCCCGGGATGACCACCCACCACACTTGGTAAGTAAACCTTTTGTCTTTTTATGACTAAAAGCTCTTTCTTGCCCTGTGTTAAGGGAAGGTCTTGAATCATTCTGTATTGTCTATATAGACCCGTGATAACCTGTAGCTGTTTTTGGTAAGCAGACTTAACTCTTTGGTAGAGTTACAAAATAGTGCACTATAAAAAAGAGTGTTTTTTGGTAGAACATACTGTTCTTTGGTAGAACAGTGAAGAGATAACTTTTGGGAAGTTATAAAAAGGTTAATAAGTCGGTGGAGCAGATTCTGGTTTATCTGTTTTTTGCTTTTTCTTTCTGTCACGTAGAAGTATAAGATAATTTGTTGTGTGGAACAAAATACGATTATAAAGTAAGATAATCTTATCCACTGTTTAAATATGGGTCAAGGAGGTAGCTACCCACCAGGTCCCCCAGAGAAAGGAGAAAATTGTAAGGATTATGTGGCCGGAGTATGTGGGACAGACTATTATTTAATAAATCCCTGGTGGATTGTATGGCAGGCTGGACAGAAGTCATGGGAAGTACAGACCCATTCCCGAGAGAGAGGGAGAGATCTTATGGGAATTTTAGGGATTTCTCTGAGAGTAACATCAGAAGGAGGTATTGTTGCCAGATCCTCCAAAGTACCCATTATACCTGTCTATTTCAATGATGAGAGTCATCCCTCACACATTACACCCCCTCCTGATACACATCCAGTTTGGGCACAAATTCTATGGATGTAGGATTCATTTCATGTACACCGTACACAGTCACACTCAAGGAAGGGGCATTGCCCTACAAACAGAGGCAATACAAATTAACACCAGAAAAGGAGGAAGGGATTTGTCAGGGATCCTGTTGCCGTGCAGTGGTGCGACGGCGATGGATCCTCTCGAGTAGTGGCGGAGCGAGTGCACAGGCGCGGGAGCGTGCGGCAGGCACGGAAGCACGGGAAGCTCGCGCATGCGCAGTAAGCGCACACCTGCTGCAAGGAAGAATCATTGCCTTCTGGTCTAAATATGTTCCTGTGCTCAAATTCCTGATTCTGATCCTGATACCTGCTTTCCTGTATAATCGCCTAAGAAAGAACTCCACCTGCACTGACCCCGGCTATTCCTTACCATTCTCTTGCATGCTCCTCTTGTACTTTCTGCCCGCTTGTTACCGACCCGGCCTGCCTGACTCTGCTGTATGACCCTGTCTGCAACCGCACCTGACCTGCGTCTTACATACCTACCGCTGCACTCACGGTTCCGCATCCAGACTACCGCCACACCTACATTCCTGCACCTGCACCTGGCTTGTGTCCGGATCTCCTGAGTTCCCAGCTACCTACTGACAGCTGCAAGATCCGCACGGCACTCCTGCCACTCCTGGCTCTGCACCCTTGATCCCACCTTCAGGGACTCAGGGCGGGAGTTGTAAGAGGACACCTTCTCTCCATTTCAGGCTCCCCAATCCGGTACATAATAGTCACCCTGTATCCTGCTTCTGCTAGCGGTCTCCTCTACCTCAGCTGGGTGTACCAGGGGCCGCGACCTGGTCCCAGCCTGCTCCAAGTCCATCCTCACCATCAGGGGCTCTGGTGAACAAGCAGACTGGGGCTTAGACCCCGCGCCCTGGGAAACCCTAGCTGTAGGTCTAGAAAGCTACCCGCCTTAGCCGTGACAGTACCAGAAGGCCATGTTGGAGCCTGAGAGAGGGGCCTCTCCTCTGAAAGAAATTTGCCAGCACATTGCGGCATTAACACAAGCCGTCAAAGGTTTGCAAGAGGGGTACAACTGTCTGGAGGATCGTTTTTCAGGCCCTATCCCCACCGGCATCCGCCGCTAGCATCTCAGCTCCGGCCCCTCCAGCTGTTGCTTCAGGAGCCGTGTCGGGTCCCAGTGTGATGATGCTGCCTCCTGAGCCTCGGGTGCCCACGCCCGAGAGATTTTCTGGCGATCGTTGCAAATTCAGAGCCTTCAAAAACGCATGCGAGTTGTATTTCGCATTGCAACCTTTCTCTCTCGAAGCCACCAAAGTGGGATTTGTAATCTTCCTTCTCCAGAGTGAACCACAGACATGGGCTCATGATTTAATGGAGAAGGCGAATGCCAAACTGTCTTCATTAGAAAGGTTTTTCGAAGCGATGGCACAACTTTATGATGACCCTCAGCGAGCTGCATCTGCGGAAGCTGCCTTACACTCTCTCCAGGACTATGTAACCGAGTTCAGACGCTGGAGCACTGATACTAGTTAGAATGACGCCGCCCTACACTACCAATTTCACGTGGGCCTGGCCGAACCCTTGAAGGATGAGTTAGCTCGAGTTGGAGTACCAAACACCTTGGAGGAGCTTATTAAGTTGAACATTCAGATCGACCGTTGACTCCGGGAATGAAGGCTGGAGAGGGCCGCAGGTCAAGTTCGCTCCACATGGATGTTGCCTAGGGTTCCTCCTCCTCCAACAAGCATGACATCCACCAGCTCCCGCCACACCTAGTTCTGACGGGTCCGAGCCTATGCAAAATTGGGTTACTCCATACCACCCTCACTCCGGAAGAACGGCAACGCCGCCGACAGGGCAACTTATGTCTCTACTGTGGGGAACCCGGGCACTACATGCGAAACTGCCCTGCAAAATTAAGTAAGTCTCTGTCCACCCTGCCTGCCAAGATGCCTGTTGTCAACACTGCTCAGCCTACTGTCTCCATTTCATTTCAGCTTTCAGAAAGAACGCTACCAGTAACCGCAATTATTGACTCCGGAGCCTGCAGTTGTTTCATTGATATAGCTTTTGTTCAGCAACATCAGATACCTTTAAGGAGTAAACCACAGAGACTGTCAGTATTCCTGGCCGACGGGTCCAATATTAAATCTGAGGCAGTCACACAAGAAACAATTCCACTTCCCGTGATAATAGCTCCATCTGGGCACAAGGAACTATTACGCCTAGATGTCATTTTGTCACCACTATTCCCTGTTATCCTGGGAATTCCATGGTTACAGGCCCATAACCCTGGCATAAATTGGGTATCCGGTAAAGTGGACTTTGAATCAGCCTACTGCTATGAACACTGCTTTCCCCAAGTTCCTGCTCCGTCCGGGCCTCTGCTGTGCGTGGAAAATGATACCGAAGTAGGCCAACTAGTTCTAGCAGCATACCATGACTTCCTAGACGTCTTCAGCAAACGTGGTGCAGCCTTCCACCTCACAGACCTTACGATTGCCCAATAGAGCTCCTACCTGGAGCTGAGATCCCCTTCGGTCAGATCTTTCCGCTATCTGAGCATGAGTTGGAGGCACTAAACAATTACATCGATGATAATCTAAAGAAGGGGTTCATACGGCCCTCTACTTCTCCAGCTGGGGCAGGAATTTTTTTTGTTTGAAAAGAAAGATCAGTCCCTCCGTCCATGTGTGGATTACCAGGAATTAAACAATATTACAGTGAAGAATAGGTATCCTCTGCCACTAATCCCGGAACTTTTCCAGAGGCTCAGAGCAGCAACCATTTTCACGAAACTAGACTTGAGAGGGGCTTACAACCTTGTAAGAATCAGGGAAGGGGACGAGTGGAAAACAGCCTTCCGTACCAGATTTGGGCACTATGAATATTTAGTCATGCCCTTCGGGCTGTGCAATGCTCCAGCAACCTTCCAGCATCTGGTGAACGATATCTTCAGGGATTTCCTAGACATCTTCATGATCGTATATCTTGATGACATTCTGATCTTTTCTGCTTCCATCGAGCTTCACCGGGGTCATGTGCAAAGGGTCCTCAGTCACCTCCGTCTACATGGATTGTATGCAAAGCCAGAAAAATTCGAGTTTGAACGCCAAAGCATTCAGTTTCTGGGATTAATTATATCCACGGAAGGGTTCAAGATGGATCCTCAGAAAGTTTCCGCTATACTGGAATGGCCTGCACCAGCCAGACCTGGGGATTGTTGAGGCCTCTACCAGTTCCTGACCGTCCCTGGAAGATGATATCGATGGACTTCATCGTGGAACTACCCCCTTCTGAAGGACACTCCACCACCTGTGTTGTTGTGGACCGATTCTCCAAGATGGCCCACTTCATTGCCCTGAAAGGAGTACCATCCGCAGCGGAAACAGCCTAAGTCTTCATTAAAGAAGTGGTGAGGCTCCATGGTGTCCCAGGAAACATTGTTTCAGATCGAGGGGTGCAGTTCACCTCAAAGTTCTGGAATGCCCCTTGTGAAAAATTGAGAGTGGGACTCTCGCTCTCTTCCGCCTATCACCCCCAGACGAACGGCCAGACGGAGAGAACCAATCAAACCTTGGAGCAATATGTTCAATGTTTTACATCCTTCTCTCAGGATGACTGGGTATCTCTCTTACCCTTGGCAGAATTCGCTTACAATAACTCAAGACACTCGGCCACAAGACAATCTCCTTTCTTTGCGAACTATGATTATCACCCTGCATCTATTTCCAATTCAATACCAGAATCAGCAATCCCAGTAGTCCAGGATATCTCTGAATTCCTACAGCGAAATAATAAGATTCTACAGGACACAACCTTAAAGGCTCAGCTGAACACGAAGAAGTTTTTTGATAGAAAGAGGAAAGGAGAACTGATCCTGGAACCGGTACAAGAGGTATGGCTGTCAACAACCAACCTAAGATTAGCTTGTCCCTCGAAGAAGCTAGGCCCAAAATTTGTGGGGCCTTTTCCCGTAAAAAGGAGAATCAACAATGTAGCATATGAACTCATATTACAGGATTCCCTGAAGATTCATCCCGTATTTCATGTATCGCTACTCAAGACTGCACCCTCTAACCTCTTCCCAGGTCGGGAATCGGGGCCACCTGAACCAGTAATCATCGACGGCGAAGAGGAATACGAAGTTGAGACCATTATTAACTGCAGGAAGAGGAGGAACCAACTGCAATCCTTGATTAAATGGGAAGGGTATGGCCCCGAGGATAATTCTTGGGAGCCAGAAGCTAACATCCATGCCAAAGAACTGATCGAAGCTGTTAAGGACCGACTGGCAGTAGCCTCTAGCGACCCACAGGCCGGAATCCCTCTGGGCGCAGAATCTAAGCCTCAGTCTGCTGTTTCACCAGAGCCCCTGATGGTGGGGATGGACTTGAAGCAGCCTGAGACCAGGTCGCGAACCCCAAGTTCAACCAGCTGTGGTAGAGGTGGATTTGCCAGTGGTAGGTAACAAGTGAGAGCCAGATGTGAAGAGGTAGTGTGTAACGTAGTCAGACAGACCAGGTCGGTAACAGCGTAGGCAGACGGTACAGATCAGCAGGCAAAAAGATAAACGCGTTACAGGCCAGGTTCAGCAACAGGAGGTCAGGTAAATAGAAGAAAGCAGAAGAATGGTCAGACAAGCCAGGGATCAGGGCAGGAGAGAGTCACGATAATCCGGGTCAGGCAGGTTCGGCAACAAAGGCAATCTCAGGTACTAGGAACAGGAACACAGGAATAAGACCATACGGCAATGTGAGCATTGCAAGAGCTGGTTTAAATAGCCCGTCTGGCGCTGACAGGCGCGCCTGGGTCCTAGTGCCTGCCGACGCAGTCATTGGTGACAGGCGCGCCTGGGTCCTAGTGCCCGCCTGCCTCTATGTGTTGGCGGGATCCTACGCATGTGCAGATTCATGTGTCGTGGCGATCTTCTCGTTCCCTGACAGAAGCATTTAAACGCAGGCATCCAGAGAAGATGGCCCAGTTGGGCATCTGGAGGCTGCCCTTAGGGAGGGGGCACTGTCAGGGATCCTGTCGCCGTGCGATGGTGACGGATCCCCTCGAGTAGCGGCGGAGCGAGTGCGCAGGTGCTGGAGCGTGCGGCCGCGCATGCGCAGTAAGCGCCCATGTCACGGCCGGCGGGCTATTAAAACCTTTTAAGCAAGGAAGAACCATTGCCTTCTGGTCTAAATACGTTCCTGTGCTCAAATTCCTGATTTTGATCCTGATACCTGCTTTCCTGTGTAATCGCCCACAGGGAACTCCACCTACACCGACCCTGACTATTCCTGACCATTCTCCTGCCTGCTCCTCTTGTACTTTCTGCCCGCTTGTTACCAACTTGGCCTGCCTGACTCTGCTGTGTGACCCTGTCTGCAACCGCACCTGACCTGCGTCTTGCATACCTACCTCTGCACTCACGGTTCCGCATCCAGACTACCGCCACACCTGCCTGCTGCTGCACCTACGTTCCTGCACCCGCACCTGGCTTGTGTCCGGATCTCCTGAGTTCCCAGCTACCTACTGACAGCTGCAAGATCCGCACGACACTCCTGCCACTCCTGGCTCTGCACCCTTGCTCCCACCTTCAGGGGCTCCGAGCGGGAGTCGTAAAAGGATGCCTTCTCTCCATTTCAGGCTCCCCAGTCTGGTACGTAATAGTCACCCTGTATCCTGCTTCCGCTAGCGGTCTCCTCTACCTCAGCTGGGTGTACCGGGGGCCGCGACCTGGTTCCAGCCTGCTCCAAGTCCATCCCCACCATCAGGGGCTCTGGTGAACGAGAAGACTGGGTCTTAGACCCCGCGCCCTGGGAAACCCTAGCTGTGGGTCTAGAGAGCTACCCGCCATAGCCATGACAGGATTGCTCCTCTAGTGGAAAGATTTTTAGAGACAGGTATTTTAGAAGAAACTGTTTCTTCTTACAACACACCTATCAATCCTGTTAAGAAGCCGGATGGCTCTTACAGCTTGTACAAGATTTGAGGGCCATAAATAATTTTGTAGTTCCAATAGCCCCAATAGTGCCTGATGTGCCATCACTCCTCACCTCCATTCCATCCGATGCAGAATATTTTACAGTGATTGATTTAACAAATGCATTTTTTTTTGGTTCCTGTGGCCCACCTGACGAGGGCGCTATTTGCATTTACGTTCCGAAATCACCAGATGACCTGATGTAGAATGTTCCAGGGCTTTGTAGATTCCCCTCCAGACCACATTGAGGTCCTGGACCCCTCCCAATGGTTCGGTCCTCCTACAATATGTGGATGACCTATTGATTTGTAGTCCAAGCCAGGCGGCCAGTCAGGAGGATAGTTGGTCTCTGTTAGAATGGTTGTCAGGGAATGGTCACAAAGCATCTAAAAAGAAACTGCAATGGTGCCAAAAACAGATTGAATACCTTGGTTTTATTTTAATTCATGGTAAGAGGAATGTCAGTCACAAAAGAGCTGCGGCTCTCGTGGGTCTGCTGCGCCCACAAACAAAAAAGGACATGCTAACTTTTCTTGGTATGATTGGTTACTGTCGCCAATGGATACCTGATTGTTCATTTTATGATCACACTCTGAAGTCTGCCACACTTTCAGAATCACCTGACATTCTCATATGGTCAAATGAAATGGTTGATGCCTTTGTGTACCTGAAGAATGCTATGGTAACGGTCCCTGGTCTTGGACTACCTGACTATAAGAAAATGTTTCATCTGTATGTTAGGGAAAATTGTACAACCATTGCAGGGGTCCTGGCTCAGGAACATGGAGGCAAGCTCCGCCCTGTAGTTTTTTTTTCCAAAATAGTGCCAACTCAGGTTCAGGGCATGCCTGCTTGTCTGAGAAGCTGTTGCATCCTGCGAAATGGTGGTGGAAATGGCTATTTCTTTCACATTTGGACATGAAACTACCCTACACACCACACATCAATTGTCCTTACTACTGAAAAACATACACACTCAACACATGTCAGCACAAAGGTTGAGCGGATAGGAAGTGATTTTTCTGTCTGATCCCAACTTGATTATTAAATAGTTTGCAGCAAATTCAGGCCCTGATCCAATTTTGAATGCTCTACTGGGGCTAAAGGGAGAACAGGATGAAGTGGCACCAGAACACAATTGTGTAACCCACATACAGAAAGACACTTCCCCTAGGCCCGATATGTCAGCTGTGGTTTGATGAGGCCCCAGATGTGTTTGTAGAATGCTCATGCTCTAGGTGATAAATGATAATACTTACCATGCAGGATATGCCATTGTGCAACTTCCTGACAAAATACTCGAGGCAAAGCCAATCCCATATCAGTCAGCCCAGGCTGCTGAACTGATTACCCTTACAAGAGCATGTCAATTATTTGCAGGACAAGATGTCAATATTTACACAGATTCCAAGTACGCCCATGGTGCTGTACATGATTTTGAGGTCATTTGGGAGAGAAGAGGATTCATTGCTGCTGATGGCATACCATAACTCACTCTTCCTTGATATCTGATCTACTCAAAGTCATACAGTTACCAAAATATGAGTCATTCTTCATTGCAGGGCACATACAAATTGCAGAGATCATATTGCCAAAGCAAATGCATTAGAAGATAAGGTAGCAAAGGAAGCTGCATTGCAACAGGTGGCCAGTGAGCAGATGCCTATGCTCACTTCAGGCGTCACAACCACACCACATGACCAGATGTATGCAGATTTACAAAAATTTGCTACAAACGTCGATCTAGCAGACTGGAATGGTTCTGGAGCACAACTAGATCCAGCTTCTGGTCTAGTGTGCTTAGAGGGGAAACCATGCATTCCCATGTCAACTGCCCCACTGTTCATTGCACAGTATCACAGTCTAGGACATAGAGGATGGAAAACGACATGTGAAACATTATTGCAAGATTTTTACATTACAGGTTTATTTAGGTTGGTGAAAGAATATATTTCCAGGTGCATTACATGTATAAGGAACAATCCAAAGAACCCAAAGAAACCACAATACCAACATCTATTGTACCCAACTACACCTTTCACCCATTTACAAATAGATTTTACCCACATGCCAAAAACAGGACAGAGGCAAGAGTTTTTGTTGGTAATGGTGGATATGTTTAGCAGATGGGTGGAAGCATTTGTCACTAATAAAGAAGACGCGCAGACTGTAGTCAGAATTCTTACACAGGAGATAATACCCAGATGAGGATGTCCGCTGCAGATAAATTCTGGTAACGGGCCAGCCTTTGTGGCCAAGGTATGCCAAGACCTGGTAAAAGTACTTAAGATAGATTGGAAATTTCATATTCCCTATCATCCTCAAAGTTCGGGTATAGTAGAAAGGATGAACAGGAAAATTAAGGATAAGTTGAGGAAGGCCACTGGAGGAACCTATACCCACTGGAAGAAGATGCTACCTGCAATTCTAGCAGAGGTAAGAAAACCTAATAAGACTACAGGTTATCTCCTTTTGAAATATTAATGGGAAGACCGTTCCCCACTCCTTGGGCTAGACAGCCACTTATGTTAGAAAGAGGGGACCTTGACCTGGTGCAACAAGAATATGTGAGAAAATTGATTCAAACTTTAGATCAGGTTGAATGAAATGTTGCTCTCACCTCTATTTTATCTTTTCAGGAGCCAACACACCCTTTCCAAGTGGGAGATGTCGTAGTGGTCCGCCAACTCGCTAAAGACAAGAAGCAAGGCTACTCCTTTGGACCACCTACTACGGTGATAGCGGTTACCAGAACGGCTTTTCTGGTGGAAAATTCCCAGTCCGGGATCCATGCTAGTCGAGTGAAGAAAGTGAACCAAACACCTGAGAAGCATGAGATGGAAAAAGGAGGTGAAGTACAAGCGGAAAATCCTCGAAGAGCGGGTGAAATTGGTGAAAAAGACCCTGAAGATGACATTCCTTACTGCCCCTCATGGTGCTTTGAAGATCTGGGTCCTATTGGGCACACTGACTGTGCTCTTTTTCCTGCCAGTATGGATAACTAACTAATATAACTAACTGTATTTATCACCCTGAGGACTTGGGCCTAATAAAAGGTATCTGTGGTCAAGGACAAGATTTAAATGAGACCCAGATAACCAAAAGTGAAAGAAAGTCAAAAAGAAGTTTTGAAGAGAACAATTTTTTTTTCAGGAAAAATGTGTTGATGATGCAGTTTAAATATGCTTATGTTCAAAAGTCAGGTTATGATAAATGTTGGATATGTAGTAAGTTATATCCTAGCATATATGACATTCCTTTTCTGGCCGCTCCAGTCAAAATATTTTTGTTTAATAACAGGGAATGTAAGTATTGGTTTGACCAATATTACTTCTAATGCCACCATATCTTTTCCAACTCTGGGAGTCACTCAACTCCCCGATTGGTGTTTTAGACTGGGGAATACTTCCCACAAGGGAAAGGGAATGTGCACTCAGTCCAAATTAAACATATCTGGAAGGAGGGATGGAACTTCTGTGAAACTTCTGTGAAATGAAATTTTAGAAGGGATACAAGACAATGTGGGCAAAACTATGTTTGGAAAACTTTTTTTATTTCACACTTGTTCTCACCCCTGAATTTCGCTCTGCAATACAAAAATTGCTGATTTCCTTGGGAAACAATACCTATATCTGTTGTGGTAAGATCTGTTACCCTTGGATACCGAGTAATGTCCAGAGCTGGTGCTATGTAGCCCAATTAGTGGCAATCATGGCAGCTATAGACCAAAAGGAACACCAGGTAAAAGCCAGTACATACCCAAAACACCAACTAACTCTGAGACAGAGAAGGAAAACCAAACAAGAAAAGGTAGATCTATTTTCTAAAGGTGATAAGGTTTGGTCATGGTTCCCTACCTACACGGGATGGGGAATAACACTTGTGAACGAAATAAATAATTACACAAACATTATTGATGATATATTGGAGAGGAACTCTAAGGACATAGGGTTGCTAAATACTGAGACCAGAGCTATTAGAAAACAGCTGGAGATGCAAGAATTAACTATTGAAAGCATGAGTGCTGCTCTGCCAGGTTTGTGCGAGATGACAGAGGATTATGAATGTTGTATTTGGATATATAATACCACAATGACTGTTCCAGATTATTATGAAATAATACAGGGAACAGGTAGATGGTTTAATGGAAGAAGCTAGAGCTATAGGAAAAGATGGATGGTGTCATGCACCGCCTGGTGGCGTCTCTAGCAGCCTACAGCACGGGGTTCCTAAGGATGCGGGTTCTAAGTCTCAATCTGCTTGTTCACCAGGGCCCCTGATGGTGGGGGATGGACTTGGAGCAGACTGAGATCAAGTCGCGATCCCTGAGTACGTCCGGCAATGGTAGAGAGCGCCGTCAGGGGTGTGCGGGAAATGGAGTCTGACGTGAATAGGTTGGCAAGCCTGGTAACAGGGACAGATCCATGCGGGATGGATGGATGAATCGTCAGGGTAACGTAAGGCGTAGTCAGGCGGGCCCAGGTCAGCAACGTGCAGGCAGCGAGCTACCGGAGGAGCAGGCAGAGAATGGTCAGGGTCACAAGCCGGGTTCAGCAACTAACGGGCAGCGCGGTACAGAGGATCAGGCAGAAGGATGGCCAGGTAAGCCAGGGGTCAAGCAGGAGACAATCAGCAGGGTCAGGAACAATGCAGAGGTCGGCAACAGAAGCTTCACAGGATCAGATAACAGGAACGGAACAACAAAGACCAAACGGCACTTGACATACCTCCTGTCCCGTTTAAATAGCGCGCCCTGCGCTGTCATTGGTGCCAGGCGTGTGTCCGCGATCGCGAGTGCCCATGTGCGGCCGTCGCGATCGCCCAGGTCACGCTGCTCGCTGGCTAGAGTGTATCGGTGTTCTGCGCATGCGCCGCCTGGAGCATCGCGGCAGAGTCACCAATCCCTGACATTTGCCCCCCCCCACGGGCAGCCGCCGGATGCCCAATTGTTCTCTCCTGTGTGGGTGATTGCGGAAAAACTCCCAAATTAGTCTAGAGGCATGGATGTTCTGAGCTGCTTCCCATGAGTTTTCCTCCGGGCCGTAACCTTTCCATTTAATGAGAAATTGGGTCTGGACTCTCCTTTTCCTGCAATCTAGAATCGCTTCGACCTCAAATTCCTCCTCCTCATCAATGTTTATGGCCTCCAGAGGTCTAGATCTCCGGTTCAGGAATGGATCCGGTGCCCCGGGTTTCAACAAAGACACATGAAAGACTGGGTATATTTTAAAGGATTCGTGGAAGTACGAACTCATATGCCACCTCATTCATTTTCCGTTTCACTTTGAATGGACCCATGAATTTCGGTCCTAATTTCCTTGATGGGCAAGACATTTTCAGGTTTGTTGTGGCTAGCCAGACCTGGTCCCCAGGGTGCAGAACAAGTTTGCCTCTCCTCCTCTTATCGAAGGCCTTTTTACTATCTTCTTGGGCCCTTGCTATAGCCTCTTGTAGAACCTTGTTATTTGCTGAGAAGAACTGTAACATATCCTGTGTAGCTGGCACTGGACTCTCTGGAATCGTGTCGGGTAGAAATGTGGGATGGAATCCGTAGTTGGCGAAGAACGGAGATTGTTGAGTAGCAGAGTGGCTCGCATTGTTGTATGCGAACTCGGCCAGTGGCAAGAGAGCCAGCCAATCATCCTGAAGGAAGGAGGTGTAGCACTTGAGATACTGCTCCAGAGTCTGGTTTGTGTGTCCGTCTGCCCGTTGGTCTGTGGATGATATGCCAAAGATACCGACAGCTTGATTCCCAGGGTCTCACACAGTGCTCTCCAGAATTTAGAGGTGAACTGAACCCCTCTATCTGAGACGATGTCCTTTGGAACCCCATGAAGTCTCACCAGTTCCCTTACGAAGACTTGTGCTGTCTCTGCAGATGATGGCGTGTTTTTCAGAGGCAGGAAATGGGCCATCTTGGACAGGCGGTCCAGCACCACGAAAATGGCGGTATGATCTTGGGATGGTGGGAGCTCCACGATAAAGTCAATGGAAATCATCTCCCATGGCCTGTTGGGTATTGGTAAGGGTCATAGCAGACCCGAGGCCTTGCTCCTGGTGGGCTTGTTTCTCTGGCAGATCGCATAGGTTTTCACGTATGCTTCACAATCTTTAGTCATGCTGGGCCACCAGAATACACGTTGTAGTAGTTCCAAAGTCTTCCGTACCCCGAAGTGGCCAGCCAGAGGATGATCATGACAGTGGCCCAAGACTGCGGTACAGGTTTCTTCGGGCACCATGATCCATCCCTCCTTCCACAAAAGTCCTTCCTTATTTTGCAATGAAACCCCTGGTGGGCTCGGCATCCCTACGGACGCAGCCTGTAGTTGGGATCATAGCTCGGTCTGTAGCGCGAGGAAATTCCCAGTAGACAGGATGGTATCCGGTTTGTGGGTTTCTTCAGGGTCTTCAAACATACGCGAGAGTGCGCCGGGTTTTGTGTTCTTTGATCTGGGCCTGTATGTGATGTGGAACACAAACCTCGAGAAAAAGAGTGCCCACCTAGCCTGACGTGGCCTCAAGCACTTCGCTGTCTTCAGGTACTCCAGATTCTTGTGGTCAGTGAAGATCAGGATTGGGTGTGTGGCTCCCTCCAGTAGGTACCTCCACTCCTCTAATGCTGCCTTGATGGCCAGAAGTTCCCGGTCCCCAATATCATAATTCCTCTCTGCAGACGAGAGTTTTCTGGAGAAGAAGGCCACAGGGTGCATCAGTTCCTTGACGCCCTTCCTCTGGGACAGCACAGCCCCCACTGCGTTCTCAGATGCGTCTACCTCCAGAATGTAGGGTAACGAGGAATCCGGGTGGCTCAGTATGGGGGCCTTAAAGGAGCAGTCTCTTCAAAGACTCGAAGGCCATCTGTGCCTCAGGTATCCACCTAAAACGCACCCCTTGTCTGATGAGCTGGGTGATGGGGGACACGAGGCCTGAAAAGTTTTTGATAAATTTCCTATAAAAATTGGCGAAGCCAATGAATCGCTGCACACCCTTCTTGTCGACCGGCACCGGCCATTCCAGAATAGCAGAGATCTTTTGGGGGTCCATGGCTACTCCAGTGGTGTAAATGATTAGTCCCAGGAAGGAAATGCTGCATTGCTCAAAACTGCACTTCTCTGCCTTTGCGTACAGCCCATGTTGACGGAGCAGCCCCAGCACACTTCTAACATGACCTCTATGCTCTTCCAGGGATGCAGAGAAAATCAGGATGTCATCTAAATAGATGACTACAAAAACGTCCAAAAAATCTCTGAACACATCATTGATGAAGTGTTGAAAGGTGGCTGGGGCATTGCACAGACCGAAGGGCATAACTAAATACTCAAAATGCCCAAACCTAGTACGGAAGGCTGTCTTCCGTTCATCTCCCTCCCGAATGCGGACCAAATTGTAAGCCCCCCTTAGATCCAATTTTGTAAAAATGGATGCTGTCCTGAGCCTCTGAAATAATTCTGGCACCAAGGGAAGCAGGTAACGGTTCTTTACTGTGATTTTATTTAGTTCCCTGTAGTCCACACAGGGTCTTAGGGATTTACCCTTCTTCTCACCGAAGAAAATTCCCGCCCCAGCCGGAGATGTGGAAGGGCGGATGAACCCCTTCTGGAGATTCTCATCTATATACTCTTTAAGTACCCCTAACTCTCTCTCCGATAGGGGAAAAATTTGCCCGAAGGGCACCTCAGATCCTGGAAGCAGGTCAATGGGGCAGTCAGTCATAGGTCCTATGTGGGGGAAGGTTGTCCGCTCCTCGTTTGCTGAACACGTCGAGATAGCTGTGGTAGGCCGGGGGAATGAGTTGCGTCAGTTCTGCGTCAGTGTCTAAGCAAAACAGAGAGCGTGGAGCTAAAGGCACCTGGGGACAGCAATGCTCCTGACAGTATGGGGAGCTGAACTGGAGGGTACCGGTTTTTCAATTAATCTGGGGGTCATGTGCCCGTAGCCAAGGAAGCCCCAGAATAATTGGAAACAGAGGGGATGCGATGGCATCCAAACAAAGGAACTCTTGATGGTGACCAGCCGCCGTAGCACAGAGAGGTAGGGTCTCCCGGTCTACCACTCCTGACTTGATTCGGGACCCATCGGCCAAAAAGATGTTCAATTCACATTCCTTGGTTTGTAGGGGGATTTGATGCTGTGCTGCAAAACCTAGATCTACAAAGCAGCTACAGGCCCCGGAATCAACGATTGCCGTCGCTGACACGGTCCTTCCGGGAAGCTGGAAAGAGATAGGTACTGCTAAGTAATTAGAACTATTAATGGCAGTGGAAGATGTGGCAGAAAACACAGATGCACACTTACCCAGTTTCGCTGGGCAGGAACGTACCATGTGACCCGCTTCCCCACAGTACAGACACAGATTGTTGAGCTGGTGCCTCTGGCATTCCTCGAACGTTAATGAGGGACGAGTTAACCCCACTTGCATGGGTTTAGGTGCCTCTGCTGTCTCCGGGTAACAATTTCCAGTAGGCAGAGCGGCCTGCACTGGAACACGGGGTAATACCCACGTAGGCCTCTGACCCTGGCCGGACCTTTCCATCCTGCGTTCCCGCAACCGTCGGTCAATCTGGATGGCCAGAGCGATGAGGTTTTCCAGTGTGGCTGGTATGCCCACCCTGGCGAATTCGTCCTTCAATGGCTCGGACAAACCTATGCGGAACTGGTGGCGCAGGGCCGCATCGTTCCACTGCGTATCCCCCATCCAACGCCTGAACTCTGCTGCATATTCTTCGGCTGCCCTACGACCCTGTCGGAGTGTTTGTAGGGCTGATTCGGCCAAAGCTGTCCGTTGTGGGTCGTCATAAAGAAGTGCCATTGCTTCAAAGAAGGTCAATACCGACTCCAACTGTGGTTGACGGGTCTCCAGTAAACGTGGGTGGGCCCAGGCCTGGGGTTCGTCCTGCTGCAGCGAAATTACAAATCCCACCTTCACAGATTCCGTGGAAAATGTCCGTGGCTGCAGACTGAAATAAAGCTGGCAGGCATTGTGGAAGGCCCTGAATTTAGTGTGGTCCCCATTGAACCGTTCCAGTGTTGGCACACGAGGTTCCGGTACAGGCATAGAGGCCACGGCTCCGGCAGGCGTTTCCGTGGGACTTCTGGCAGACGATGAGGGACCCAAGTCTTGGGTTGGGTTGTAGTCAACATCTGAATCCGTCCTTCCAAATGGGTATAACCCTCCTGCAGCATCTTTACTGCCTGGGTTAGTGCCGCCAGGTGCTGGCATATATCCTCCAGTGGGGATGGTCCTCTTCCAGGCTCCGACATCTGGCCGTTTGGTACTGTCATGCACCGCCTGGTGGCGTCTCTAGCAGCCCACAGCACAGGGTTCCTCAGGACGCGGGGTCTAAGTCCCAATCTGCTTGTTTACCAGGGCCCCTGATGGTGGGGATGGACTTGGAGCAGACTGAGACCAGGTCGCGATCCCTGAGTACGTCCGGCAATGGTAGAGAGCGTCGTCAGGGGTGTGCGGGAAATGGAGTCTGACGTGAAGAGGCTGGCAAGCCTGGTAACAGGGACAGATCCGTGCGGGATGGATGGATGGATAGTCAGGGTAACGTAAGGCGTAGTCAGG